ACCGAGGGTGTGACACGATGAGAACGCGAAAAATGACCCCGTTTTTTATCGTTTCATGTGATGTTTTCGTATTATTTTTGCTCCTATTACGATAAAATTTATTTTGTATGTAGCTAAATAGATATTTTATCATCTAATTTCAAAGTTATTGTTCTAACTTATACCGTTTATGAACTATTATTGTGTGACCATCAAATTTGAGTGTAAATTAGAAGTACCCAAATACCATTCAATAGTGCTGGTAATGAGCAATCATTTGTAACTGTAGCTTTAGATCGTATTTCCCTTATATGGTGAATAATTAAGCTTAAATAAAAGTCATATTCTCATAAATGAAATGTTTTCATTTTGCGTGTCACAACAAATCAAATTTCAATCACTTTGACCGTCTTTTATCAGCCAATCAAAACTGAAGTAAGTTTATTATTTCGATTGCTTTTACAATAAGCTTCGCAACGGGCGTATAAAAATTCTTTGAACGTGAAAAGGGGTGCAGAAAATAAGCAATGAATAAATAATTGGATCGCAGTTGTTTGCTGGAGTGGAGCGCAAGTCGCGATAGCCTCTAAATGAGTTCCTGGGAAACTAACGCAGCCTTTCCAAAGAATATGACAAAGGAGAACCGAAATGAAAGATGGGGTTATTAATGGGCGGTTAGCATGTGGAATAGACAATGCCCTATCAATTCTACAAAACAAATGTTTGCATTGCCAGAGAAAATCGAAAACAACAAAATATAATATCCCGTAGAGACGCTATCTTCACAAAGCTGCTTATGATTCAACAAAAAACCTCCAAACGCTTCGTCAAACAGACAGGTTGACAGTTATCTCATCTTCAGTTGATAGAGACACGTTTATCATGTTTTCCCCGGACTAGCACTGGAACTGGACACCTGCCAACCCTGCATTACACCTGGGGCTCAATCGACGCCGAATATTCTCAGCATTTTGTTAAATTCCCGGGATAAAAGTGTTTTGTTAAAATAAGTCTTTGGTAGCTTTCCAATCTGTCGGGACCGGGCCCTAATGTCGGATTTCTATTGACAAAATACGCGGCACGCTCGTAAAAATCCGTTTTCATTCTTTGAGTTTGCATTACAAATTGGAGATTTTGATACTCTTTGTATTTTTGATGATTTTCAACAAAACGATAAAACGAACGAAACGAAAAACGTGGAAAAGCCTTTTTACGTAATCCTAAGAAAGGACTAACATTAATGTTCATTATTAAACTGAAACACAATAAGAACAATAGCCTTGACAAGCGTTTCATTTTTGGCTCGAGAAATATGACGTTGGTTGCTCAAAGGCTAAGAGAACAATCAAAGGAACTAATTTGATTGTCTCAAAGTTGTAAATTCAAAATAGATTGGAAGTAAGTTTCTCTTGAGATGTAGAAGGATAAGGCGAGGTCAGGGCATGGAGTATCGGCCGTGCTGTTAAGTCAATTACTCCTAAAGGACGGGCTGTAAATTAAATTCGAAATGAAGCACAATTTCAAATGTAGCTCTCTGTTATAGTATTATACAAACAAAAGTAATTATAGCGCCTCAAAGGGAATATATTACATCAGTAACGATATTGTTATTTGAGCAAGTTTTAGTTTGTCAAGTCAAATAGTTCGTAGTTAGCTCGTAGTTTTATAATCACTGTTTTGTGTTAAATGGTATGAACCTTTTAAAAGTTAAATCCAGTAAGTGAAAGCCCACACATATTATCTCAAATATGCTACATGTGCAATATTCCGCAGTTTCAAACATGTCTGCAGTTTTTCAAATATGTAATTAAGTTATTTGAACTCGGAATCCATTAGGATAAATGTTTAATTAAAGCTCAAACTACACTCGACCGATTGCTTCATTAGCGGTAATTAATGCTGGTGAATCTATAAGTATGTTCTTTGCAGGTCATGTAAATGGAAGCTTGAAATCGAAATTACAGATAATAATAAAATTTTAGACACATATTTTTTGATTTTTTCATAATCGAATAATTACAGTATTATATTGAGTTGAAATGTCGCGTGACGTCACTTTTGAGTAAAAAATCTACTCAAGCGTGACGTAACGCGCCATTTCAACTCGATGTAGCACTGGTATTATTTAATTATGAAAGAAAATAAAAAATATGAGTTTAATATTTTCTAATTATCTGTCTGACGGACAAATAATTGAAATTTTGTCATCTAGCCTATTGCCTCATCATAGGAAAACAAGATAATAGGGAGTATTTTGTTATAAACGAGTTGATGGATGGTATGGAAGTCTCAAATTAATTTTAAATTAATATTCGGTGGTATACGGTTCAGGCATTTCCATTTTATATTCCTCGTAACTACACTCGGCATCAAATAAATCGCACCTCCCGCGACAAGCACTTATCAAACGTATGCATCCCCACTTCCCACCAACGTTGGTACCATTTGAAAGCCTAGTTCTAAACTTCATTTCATTAAAGGAAAGGTTTTTACCCCAAAAATGTGTCTTTACAAGGATCCAGAGTCACTTCTTCAAAAAATAGGTAGTAACGCTATAACCATTTTTCATGACTATAACTGTTATGTTGGGATTAATCGCTATCCATCTGTTAAAGAGGACACCTCAGATCATTATTTGGTTTTATAACCATAAAAATTGGTCTAGTTGATCCCAGAGGTGAGCCCAAAGTGAGGTCTATTTTCAAGTCACATTTATGGTATATGTTAATCATTTATTTAGAAATGAAATGTATTTTTCTTTAAGGATATTTATTGGGCTTTCAAATAACACCAATATTGTTGGGGTACCATAATTGTGTCAGAAGAAAATCTTTAAAGTTCGCGTTGCGGAAGGTGCGGTTTATTTGATGTTGAATGTAGTACGTTCATTCATTTTAAAATATTACCAGCAAGCTATTTTGAATCTGGGCCACGAAAAGATATTGAGAGTCCTTTCAATATTGTGGCAGTATCTCTTCAGTGCTCTAATATTCTATCGAACGCGTTTCATACGCGGGTGACGCCACCCAAATCATCCGGCAAGGTGACAAGACGAACAAAGGTAGAAGGAATCAATTACTTTTAGTGTCTACTAGCTTTCCGCCCGCGGCTTCGCCCGCGTGGAATTTTGTCTGTCACAGAAAAACTTTATCGCGCGCGTCCCTGTTTCAAAAACCGGGATAAAAACTATCCTATGTTCTTTCCCGGGACTCAAACTATCTCTATGCCAAATTTCATCAAAATCGGTTGCGAGGTTTAAGCGGGAAAGCGTAACAGACAGACAGACAGACAGACAGACAGACAGACAGACAGACAGACAGACAGACAGAGTTACTTTCGCATTTATAATATTAGTTGGGATTTGTTTTATAAAATGTTTAAAACAATAGTTTGGAACTTAAGTTTATTTGTTTAATAGAGACATTATTATAGACTCTATGCGGGACATTAATAATTGTCACTACGTTTTAGCACGGCTACTACTAATACTACGTTAGTACCTAAAACTTTCCTATTACTACAGTAAGTTTTCAAAAGAGTAAATGAAAATGAAGCACCTCCAGTAAAGTTTAAAAATGGTTAGATATAAAAAAGCTACCGCCAAGTTCAAGCACATTTAATGAAACATACTTATTCTTCTTAATAATTTATAAATTAATTTGTTCTAAGAAGTATTTATATTTAACTTGCGCTGCATTCACAGATTTCTGAATGACCCAAAGGTTAACTGGTGGAGAATGCTTTAAGAATTAAGTCCGCCCTTAGTACAATATTAGTGCAATAAAGCATCAATAAATTTATATGCTTTAAGTAACCCTTTGGAATATTTTAAAACACTCGCGAAACTTATAACAGTAGAAACAAAGATCTAATTAACGGGGACAGCCTTACAATACATTTAATGTAGGTAATTTTAATACTTTTGGCCTTCTATCTATCTATCTATAACAGCCTTTAGGGGGTTCGGTTTTGAACATGGGCCTCCTCTTCAACCCTCCACCGACTTTTGGTCTTAAAGAAAAACAATTGAAGTTAGATTCTCCAAGTGCTCGACATTGCTTTTCTCCGAACTTTCATTTTCTCAACAAAAATCAGGCCTAAGTTTACTGTACGAATATTCGTGTAGCAAAAACGTAATAGGCAGATTTGATTACTTTACCATCAGCCCTCTGGGATTTTCGCGCCCAAGTTTGAGGCTTTCATTAATTCTCTTACCTGCGGAATAGGTCCCCGATTTTACATTCATTACTTAGTATGTACATGTTTAATGTAACTCATCTGAATATTATAATTCTGGCTGAATCGTGAAAATATAAACAAGCAATGAGAGCGCCATAAAAAGAGAAAAAGGATCGGAAAAGCCGATATGAAATACTCATCGTTATATTTTTATTGGCCGCATGAAAGGTTTTGAATAAAATCTCCATTCATCAGTGGATGCACGGGCGGGGGCGGATTATTTAAAATATTCCGGGCCACGCGCGGCTTAGCCGATGCCGATTTATCGCCGCCCGCCCGTAAACAAGGCACCTTAAAACCCTGACAAATGCAAAGGACGACCCTTCTAAGGCTCTACAAATTGAGACATTACCCAACTCCGACAACAGGAAAAAAAGCCCCGCGACAGTTAGTAACACATAAATAATTCAATTAACCGCTCCAAAACTTCGCGAACTAATATTTCAGCAACTCGAAGTTAACGAAAAAAGTTTATTCTAAAAGTACTTACTGCCAATTCCAGTCCCTAACCGGCCGGAGCTTTAAAAATTCGGAGGTACCAAAATCAAAACGTCCAAAAGCTTCCCATGGCAGTGATCAATAAATTGGTACATAGTATTTATACAGGTAAGGACGTCCCGAAAGTGCGAGTTAGTGCCAACACCTGGTAGTTACGTGTGGCAACACTTAGCGCGCGAAAACTTGGCGTTGCGTGCGGGCGCTCGAGCAAAAAGTGGTGATATTGTGGGACATAAACAAAGTTGTGCAATGCGCAACAGGGTGGCGCGGCGTGGCGAGCGTACCTTATGGCGGGCGCCGGGTGCGGGGAGCAAGTGTGCGGTCGCAGCGACGTCGCCGCCGCTCGCCGCGGACTGACGCGCCCGCCAGCCTGCGAGCCGCCCGCCCGCCCAGGGTTGCCACACCTGCCCAGCTTACCCCGTAACTGGAGCGCATGAAAATGCATGAGATTTGTTGCGTCAAATTCGAACACGGAATTTTTTATAGTCATGCATTCATTTCCTCATAATTAACAGCAGTCTAGCTCACATTTGATATTTAAAAGTAGGCGAACTACATACAGTTTGATTGTTCGGAACTTGTATTTGAAGGAAAAACAACTTTTTAAAATCACCTTATTTAATTACTCAACTTTTAAAAACAGACGCATTTTCTTCCTTTTAGGGAATTTAATTAAACTAATTATCTACTTCGTTAACTCCGCCAAGGACAATAACGTAATTCATCAAAGTAATTATAACAATTTTCCTTATTTCAGAGTGTGCCGTTCATCTAGCAACACTGGCATACTCCCCGCGCCCCTCCGACCCAACTAGGACCCGAATAATGAAGCGGGGGAAAAGTGATTGTGGGCCGGGAAATGTCGGAAGATGCGACCCGGGCGCCGCCGGATGCCGCGTCCGGAGCCGGCCTGCGTTGCACCCGTCAACTTTTGAAATTCGAACACTTACACGTTCGAAAAGAAAAAAGAAATGGCGCTGTGTGCCAGCACGATGACAAAAGAAAAAAGTTTGCGCCCCAACAAAACGTCCTTCGCTCTTTTGTGAAGGAGTTTCGATTGAGTGTGCTAAAATGGAATCGGATCGAGACTTCTTTGTAAGCGCCTTTGTTTACAGCTAGAAAATAAAGAAAAAATCTAGAGTCCTTTGCAACACCTAAAATACCTACTATTAACAAGTTTGGCGGTTATCACACAGACTGCGCCGCGCTCCGCCGCGGAGCGCGTGATTTCATATAAAAAAAACCCGCGCGCGGACGCGTTGTCAGTGTGTTGTGCCTCGCGTGTTTTCTATACAAACTGAGGTACTTGCATACAATGATTAAGTCTGTCGTCCCGCGCTCCGCGGCGGAGCGCGGTGCAGTGTGATATCCGCCTTTACACCATTATACCATTGCAACGTTCTTGCTAAATTACCTAATGCAAAACCAAAGGTACACCGCTAAAACAAAACTTTTCGCGCCTCTAGAATTTGGAATACAGTTCGAGAATTGAATCTTGGCATCCCAAACCGACTCGATCGCTATACAATACGATACAGGATAAGGCGGCTATTTGCTCAGGACAATAAGTACCTCGGAGAGCTCGCTTTTAGGAACTTCGCAGCCAGAAGAGGTTTTTTAGAATCGTTTTTGCTCACCAAAGGTACAGTTGAGGTAAAAACAGAGGACTCTCTCAAAAAACTGAGGTTAATATTACCTACGTTTGCTGTTCATAAGTCATAACATACCCTCAAGGCGTACTTTTTATAACATTCGTACTGCTCATAAATCACAGAGGTTACACCATTATTTTCTTTACCTCACTACGTAAGTACTTATATGCCACAGTAGTATGGAAAGTTTGTTTAAACGCAATGAAAATCTAACTAGCTGCATTGAATTGTAAACTAAACATGTAACCATGTTGAAACTGTAACCATGCTAATTACCGTGCAACCACAAAGCCAAGATCTCCAATCAAAAAGAGGATTTGAATTCGCGCAAATTACATAATTTTGGAGGGCCATGACCTACCTTAATAAAACAAACATTACCGCAGGAGGCACAACTTTTTTCAGCAACCCACTTCTATTTTTTTAAAGTCTTGCCCAGAATGAACTAAGCTTACTTTATCCGACCTGTATTATTCTAAGGGCTGGCTCCAAGAGATTAGCCCTCAATTATGGCGACATGATTGCGGGGAAAAACGCTCTAGAATTGCCATAATATACGACCTCCTCGGCGAGACGCAGCCTTAGTTATTTATTCATTTCGAGTAGGTATGAGCTACGAAAACAAATAAGAGACATTCTGCTAAGGCGTCCAAAATGCGAGGCCCTTTGTCTAAGAAATAATATAGTGAATACCTATAAATCATACGAAAGTCAGACACTAGCTTTTTCAGAGGCATCATCGCGTAAATTAAATGGTAAAATACTATATTAAATCGACATTTACATAATATGTACATGTTGGAATGAAACAGATTATGCTGGATTGTTCCTATTACTGATAAATCCTGGAACATCAACATTGTAAACCCCTCTCATGTCAAATAAGCTCTTCACCAAAATTTCTAAAATTTTTACGGCTTGAACATAATAAATTCGGGTCCATAAAGTTTTGGACTCGTAAAGGCTGACACCGTCACATAGTAGAGTAAGGTCATGCAAGCACATACGAAAATGTGTTTAGTTTTACAACCTTATACCTACATATAGTTTCCTTCAAGCTTGTGCAGAATTCATTCTATTCTTTTTAAAATAACAAACTTCAAAGGCATATCTTTGCAAAGTTCTTCTAAGATAAACCTTTTCAAACGAAGAATGATGAATTGATATTTGGAAATTTCTTTTAAAACTAATATTGGAGCTATCTCTGTAAATATAAATCTTGTAACAGCTTGTAGAAATACAATTAAATAATAATGACGACTTTAAAAGATACAGAACGTGAAGAATACATATTCGTAATTGTATCGTAACACGAGAACTTAATATTATTTTACCTAAACCGCGCGATCTAAGAAAGTTAAAATACTAAAAGAATACGTAAGAAAATAACTCCGCACTTCCAAAGACGTTTAATTGTCTGGGTAATAAAAGTCCAGATAACTGTCAAGCCCAGTAACGCAGTCCCCAAATTGCGTCGCAACAATAGATAAGGCTCTTTAAATTTTATTCTTCTAAAGTCAAACAGAAAAGTTGCGTCCATAATAAGCGTAAGATAAATTTAAATCTGGCGACTTTGGAAGTTGACGGGCGGCTTGTGGGCCGAATTCCGCGCACGTACCAAACTTTTCTAATTTTTCATTGGGCGAACTGTGTGTGAACTCTGCAAGGAATATTATTTCCATGATTAGTGCGCTGCTTCCGCCCGTCGTTAAATTGGGGGACGTGATCATTTTCTTTTTATTGATTTCTAAGGGATCAGCGCTCCGTACATCGCCGTTTTTAAGATTAGAAATGACAAATCGTAAAAAGTTTACGAGTTTTTTTTATGACACCTATGCTTGTCGTCTTTCTTATAGAACCATTTTTTATGAAATGTACAAGTACCTAGACTAATTGATAGAGGCTCATTGTTAACTTAACTTTCTTGTATTAATATTAAAGCCCTGATTGTTTTAAGCGCTAAAGTTTAATTTAACAGGTATTTACGAACAACCTTTCAAGCCTTTTCCAATATACATTATTTTTAGGCTTTGTAATCCTAGTTTACCTCATTTATTAAGTTTAGAATATTTCGCACAATTTCTCATTAACGCGTAACTTGAATATTCAGGGAAAATTAGTAAGTAATTGCCTTTTCAATAAGGCCACGAGCCGGTAACATTATTAATTTAATTATTAATTTCCAAAACATCAACCGATAAACGGCGTCTTCTGACAAGTCAGAAATTATTTTAGAGAATGGCTTTTATTGTGAAATCACGCCTATCACAGCTATGTAGCACAGCTAATACAGGCATAAAACTTTAGAAAAGAAGGATACCTTGGTGATAACTTAAACAGTGATGTAAACTTACCCTAATAAACTAACCAAGAGCTGCTTTTGTATCTATCATCATCATCATTTCAACCATAGGGCGTCCACTGCTGAATATAGGCCTCTCCCAATGATTTCCACAATGAACGGTTGGTGGCAGCCTCTACCCAGCGCCTTCCTGCTACCTTTATGAGGTTGTCGTTCCAACTTGTGGGTCACTTTGTATCTATGCTATTTGCTTCAAATCAGTTCTTATACATTTAACGAGTAGTTTTATGGAATGAAACGTCATGTAATCATGTATCACCGTGTGTCGTTTAAAAGTGTGTAAGTACAAAATGTCTAAAAGTCTACGTATTCAATCTCCATAAAGTTCTGGTTACAAGGTTTCCCCGCTTGTCACTGCTCTTTAGAGGCTGTTATGTGAATAAAAGGGAAGTAAATCCTTTCTGTCTTTCAATAGAACGGATCATCGATCGTGAATTCTGCTAACTCGGAAAATCCATTAGGTGACGAACAAGGGCGTTTCAGGTAACATTTGGAAATGAAATGGAATGTGAAATTAATTATAAACCACCACATATTAATATGATTTTGATCAGGGATAAATCGCCATATGTTTATAGGCAAAGAATCATAAATCTGAAAAAAAAATGATATTCCACAATAAGGCTCAGTTGCATTAACTTACCTACTTTCACCGTAACTTTAATAATAACCGGTACTTTTTGTATGGAGTTTGACAGATTTTTGACAACTCATTAGGTAGTCTAACTAAACAGAGGCCTTGACTATTTAGTCCTACTACTGAGCTAAGTCAACCATTTGGTTGACTTTACCAACCTTTGGTTAAATTTACCAACCATTTGGTTGACTTTAGCTCAGTAGGTGGTGTTAATTGTTCCATTTGTACTCTTCGTTGCTTACCGCGAAAACTTCTTAGTATTCCTTATAATATAATACTTCCTATTAATACAATAACCATGTCCTATTTTTATCCCGCTAAATTGTATCTACATATTAATAATAATGTGGGTTAACTAAGCAATCAGTATGTTTTAAACTAAGTTAAATACTAACTAAATTACTGCTGCTACGAGCTACGAAATCAAGGCTGTAGCAGTTGTAATACGAGTGGATTTAGAAATGTGTAATGTGATAATCCTAGATTAAGGTATATCAGGGTATTACTTACTAATTAATCCTTACTTCTATCGTAAACGTTGGTTTTCAATTCCAATATACAGGGTGGAATTTTGTAATAGCACCTGAAGGGAAAATACTCTTAATACTGTAGATATTTACTCGTATATCTGTAGATCTATTTATACTGTAGATAAAAAATATCTACAGTATCAAGATTACTTTACTTCAGGTGAC